TATTCGGTTCGAATCCGGAGAGGGAACAATCTTTGTCGTAACCGTCCGTGAAACTGCTTCTGCAAATGGCCGAGAAACGGGCATAAAGGAGATGTCTCGCAAATAAGAGAGACGGTACCATGCCAACATGGCGTTCCGGTATGATCATACCAGAAAGTGACGGAGGTATGGCCACGATGTTCTGGTTCTAGAGCCTAACAGGTCTGGTTTGCAATTCGTCTGAACCAACCAGATAGGTGCTTAATTCAATACAACAATCAACAGTAGGCATAACCGCAGATGTTGGATGAAGGTCTGTCCAAAATGTTGCAACAAAGTCTGCCTCGTCTTTCTTTGCATTTTATTAGAAGCAAATTTATTGAGTTCGTCTTGCCATCGATCTTTAGGTCTTTCGAAGTATCGTTTGCTCCTTTTTGGAATTCAAACATTGAGTTAGTCGTAATTTCTTTTGAAAGTCTGATCACTGCTCACTGCAATGACCAAGCAGGTTTATGAGTGTTTACTTCTTCACTTACCGGGATATGCTTCTCAAGCGTTAGGCATGGCCGAACCAGCCAAAGCAGACGGGTTATATTTTACACTATTTTTAGAACATGTCAATTCACCACTTTGAGGTACATGTAGTGTAATTAGGACGTCAAGGGAACGACGCTTCTGACTGTTCACATCAGATCTGCCGTATCACTGTTTCAGCCATGAAACGAGTGCACACACGTTGAAAGCGCATATCTTCAAGAAAAAGCTATCCTCACCACGAACCAAAACCAAACAAAACGACTATAGGGCGCCAACCGAAAAATGCAGCACCGCATAAAAGAAAGCAAAATGAGTGCAAATAATCGAGAGGTTTCGATTGGCACTGCTTCACGGAATAACTGGGCCCAGAAAATTAGAGTGAAATTTAAACCTACTTATATTTTTTTAGAATGAAGACGTCACAAAGCGCATAAAAAATCACAAATGTGACAATGGGTAGAAATTTTTAAACTGTTAAAGGATTAGAGGAACTTTAAAGAGGAAGAGAAACAAACAATCTGAAGAAAAGCGGAACAAAAGCGTTGATGCAGATCATGGGCAAAAATTTTTCTATTTGTCTGAACTAGACGGCGGTAGCACGCCTGAATAGGAGAGGGGCACGAACGAGTGCCATATAGTTCGAAACGAGATAGCGATATGCTGATGTTCCATTTTGCACTGTTGAAAT